AAAGACAACTTTAGCACCTGTTGTTTTGTCAGTCTAAATGGACGCTTATTTGTTCGGAAGTACCTATGATACTAAGAGAGCATGCTGGTTGGTTATAATCTTTTTCGATGGCATTGGGAACAACGACATCAGGGCGTGTATATTGGTGATGCTGGAGGTACCACTAGTCTTTGGAATAGAGGTGGGGGGATGTTTGGCGACGGCAGAGGATTGGACAGGTTTTTGGATGCAAGAGACAGAGGAACACTCTTTACGATGGGAGGTTTGTAGAGATCTTTGGGAGCATTCATGATGGGTACGGAAGGTTCGATGAGCAAGGTGCTCCAGTATGAGACGTTGGGAAATGATGGACTCGTCTTTGAGGGGAGTACGGTGGTTGATTGCTCGAAGAGGTGGGAGAGGGGTATCTTCAGCAGATTTGCATAAGTCTGACGCTTCTTTCTTCAGCATCTCGCGAACCTTATCCAGGTTCTTTTCGAGCAGGGTTGCTGCTCGCGATGCGAAGTGTGCGACCTGAACGCCTTCGATAGGTAAGGATTTGACACTACCATAGGCGAAGCGAATCGGGTTAAAACCAATTATTCCCAGGTGTGTATGGTCTAGAAAATCGAGAATAAAATGCTTATATTCCTCTCAGATAGGTCTATTGTATTTACTTTGAATTGTAATTTGAGACCAAGTCACGTCCATCCCCCGAGACTCGTTGGTTGTCAACTACTCTTTGAGGTCCACCGCAACCCCCCTCCGAACCGCTTGCCTCTGCCTTGGCTCTATAACCTTATCATCAGCGTTATATCGTATTACTCGATACAAATCACCTCTAATCGGATGTAGGTGAGCCTTGGGACCATTGAATTACGCCCCTATTAGACTAGCCTGCTGACTGATCCTTCCCTGCATTCATCCAGTTGAAATTTCGCCCGGGTATATACTCTTTTCACTTCTGTCCCTACGATTTTCTTTCTAATCTTCTTTATGGTGCCTTCATCGAACGCCCGTCGACGATTGTCCATTGTTCTCATTGCCACAGTATGTAAGTCAAACGAGGATCGAAGATAAATCCATAACTGATGATTTTCTTATCACTTAGGCCATCGAAAAAGAAATTTGATTATTCAAATTGGATCTCCCAGAAGAACTCAAAGGAATTCACCCCACACACGCCTGTTCGCGCTCGCAACGTACGCTGCTACCAATCCGAGCTCTGGAAAGGAAGGGTCCTAGAAGACAAGAATACCCACTCTTGGTACGAACAAATGTACCCTGCTCACCGAGGACAATCGACCTCGATCCCCCATCCTGGACGCAACAGCTCCGCCCCAAGGTCTGAAGAGGACTATTCGTCACTCACTTCTACGATAATAGGATCGTTTAGGCCTCTTAAGACTTATGCCCACAATTCAAATAAGTGGTGATCCACTGGTATTAGAAAGGTAAGCGGCTAAGAAGAGATCCGCTATCGCCAATGGTTGGCCGACGACGACTCTAAGCCAGCCGGAATCTGGCGACGAGGACGACGCTTCCTATAGGTGCCCAAAACTCGTGTGATTGACGCGTTTATCAAGGACGAGCCCGTTCGTGTCCTAATAGACACAGGCTCTATGTCGGATTTCCTCTCTACTACACTTGTTGA